GAGAGAAATGCTATCAACTGTTAGAATTTCCACTAAAACCAAAAGCAAGCAAATGAAATGTAGTTTTGTCTATAACAGTAAATAAATATATGAAATACTAAGATGTTATATAAATAAAAATATTACCCCTATTTCATTATGACTGAGCATGGTGGTACACTTGGGAGGCAGAGGCCAAAGGATCTCAAGTTGGAGGCTGTCGTGGCCTGTGTAGTGAGATCTTGTGTCAGAAACTAAATCCACAATCAAATAGAGAACTCTATTCCTGTTAATTCTGAGCCAGCGTATCAGCTTTCCCTCCTGACAGACAGTCCTTCACGGTGTAACACCCCTCTCTCTGCTTTAGCCTTTCCTTTCCTGGCCCTCCCTCTGTCTTTCTTCCTTTTTTGTTGGTGAGGGCTGATAACTGCACTTTATATTACAGAAAGTATTAATATAACAATGATTAAAGACCAGGGAAAACAATGGAAGTAGTCTAGTCAGCGAACCATAATTTGCTAGTAGATTTCTACAAGACCCATAGCTAATTAACGCATTGGTAGAGTATACCTTAGTTAGGTTTTGCTCTGTAACACCTTATCTAATTCAAAGGTTTTAAATTAGTTTAAAAAAAAAAAACAATTCAGTATCGTGTTCCCTTAAACACTTCTGGCAAACAACTTTATCTTATTCTAGCCGTATTTGTTCCACCCCAAGAATCGTTATTTGACACATGAACTTAGAATACTTTTTTTGCACTTCAGCTTTCCTTCACTGTGAGGGAGAGTCCTCTTAAGTTTGTAGTTGAGTCAGAGTCCTGAAACGAGAGATTCATAAGAGAAGGATATTTATCAGCACATGACACATACATCACATGGGAGAACACACAGGTTACCAGGGCAGGAGCCTGACTTATTTATTACCTAACTGAGAACCATAAATTCCATGACATTATTTGTCTTAGTCATTGTTCTATTGCTTTGAAGAGACACCATGACCAAGGCAACTCTTATAAAAGAAAGCTTTTAATTGGAGGCCTGCTTACAGTTTCAGAGGTTTAGTCCATTACCCTCATGGTTAGGAGCATGGCAGCAGATATGGCAGGCATGGTGTTGGAGAAGTAGCTGAGAGCTACATCCTGATCCTCAGACAGAAAGAGACTAGCCTTGACATGAGCTTTTGAAACCTCAAAGTCCACCCCTTCAAAGTCCATGCTTCCTCCAACAAGGCCACACTTTCTAATCCTCCTAATCCTTCTAATCCTTTCAAGTAGTGCCACTCCCTGATGACTAAGTATCAAATATTTGAGTCTATGAGGGCTATTCTTACTCAAACCACCACACTATGCATTTATTTGATTTAAGTGTGTGTGTGTGTGTGTGTTTGTGTGTGTGTGTGTGTACAGGTACACATGTTATGACTCAAATGTGGAGATCAGAGGACAACTTGCAGGCCCTGGTCCTCTTCTTCCACTGTATGGGTCTCCAGGATTGAACTCAGGTCATCAGGCTGCCACCAAATACCTCTACCCACTGAGCAATCCTGCCAGCCCTTTGAGAATAATCAATTTCAAAGTAATGACAAGACAGAGAAAAGCAGCTGCAGGCTTCCAGGGGCATTCTGGGAAGGGCAGTGTTGGAAAAGGCTTATTGAGAAAAGTCTGCAGATTCTCAGTTTCTGAGCTGATGAGTGTTGGCAAATATTGTTTTAAGGTGTGTTACTTTTGTTTATGTTGTATTTGTTTAACTCTGTTAAGCTGTGTTATTGTGCCTGTCTAATCCACCTGATGGTCTAATAAAGAACTGAATGGTCAATAGCAAGGCAGGAGAAAGAATATACAGAAGGAAAAATCTGGGGGAGGAGAAGAGATGAAGGTATGATGAAAGAAGTAGCCAGAGAAGGAGGAAGAATCCAGGGGCCAGCCGCCCAGCTACACAGCAGGCCACAGAGTAAGAGTTAGATTTACAGAAGTGCCGGGTGGTGTTGGCATTCTCACTTGGGAGGCAGAGCCAGGCGGATCTCTGTGAGTTCGAGGCCAGCCTAGACTACAAAGTGAGTTCCAGGAAAGGCACAAAGCTACACAGAGAAACTCTGTCTTGAAAAACAAAAACAAATTTACAGAAGTAAGAGAATGGGAAAAGCCCACAGATAGGATAATTTAAGTTAAGGAAAGCTGGCAAGAAATAAGCCAAGCTAAGGTCGGGCATTCATAAGTAAGACTATGTCTCTGTGTGTACTTATTTGGGAGCTGGGTGGTGGGACCCCCAAAAGAACAAAAACAAACAACAGAGAAGAACTGTGGAAGAGAATGTACCTCCTCTCTTTGGTTAGAAACTGGTGGGAGAAAATTAGAAGGGTCTCTGTCCTGTTTCTAGGCAAAGGGCAGGCAGATAGCTCCCCTGAGTCTTATCTTCAGCTGAATAGTTCTTCACATTTGGAGCAATTGTGTGCTGGCCTCCTTCCCAAGCAAAACTAGATGAGTAGCCCAGGAAGCCCCTGGGAAGGTTTGGGGATGCATAAGACAACATGGCTGTGGTGATATTTTATTTGTGCTTTAATAAATAAAGCTTGCCTTTATTTATCAAAGGGAAAAGCCAGCCATTATAAGTCAACACAAAAGTCATGCAATATTAACACACGCCTTTAATCCTATCACTTGTCAGACAGGGTCTGTCTGGATCTCTGTGAGTTCAAGGCCACACTGGAAACAGAGCCAGGTGTGGTGGTACATGCCTTAAATTCCAAAACTAGTTAACCATGGAGGTCTGTACAGACAGACAGAGCTGGGCAGGAAGAGGAAGTGATGTAGCTGGGCTGAGAGAGCAAATCAGATGGCCGAACAGCAAGGCATATAGGCGTAGGTAGACAGGAAGTAACTCACATTTGGAAGCTGAGGTATAGGTGAGGTGAGATTAGCTTGTGGCTGTTCCTATTCCTCTGATCTCTCTCAGGTTTTCACCCCTATATATGGCTCCGTGTTTTTTATTTAATAAGACCATTTAGAAATTCATCATCACATGGTCCTAATTATATATAATGTACAATATGTATCATAACATGTTTCTTAATATTTTTGTGGAGATTTACCCCTTCTCCACAGTATACTAGGATTGGAAATTTCTGAATGATGTCTGAAGACTTGTGTCAAACTGTGACAGGTTTTACCTTTCCACAGGAAATAGAAACAATAAGGATGATATGTGGCAGTTTTTTGTTTGTTTTGAGACATGGTCTCTCTGTGTAGCCCGGGCTGTCCTGGAATTAGCTCTGTAGACCAGGCTGGCCTTGAACTTACAGCGATCCTCCTGGCTCTGCCTCCAGAGTCTTGGGATTAAAGGAGTGCGCCACCATTCCCAGCTGTGTGGTAGATGTTAAAAAATGGTTTATGAGCTCAGTTGCAGAATTCATCATAATTCTGAATGAAATCAGGATCTTTGAGTTGTTCAGATGGTCAGCAGGACAGTTTTTTTCATGGTAGATAACTGTTATTTTTAATTCCATATACTGATTTATAAAAGCTGTTCCTCTAATGGATGGGGAAAGAAAGGGCCTGAGGCTAACATGGTAGGTGTGGAGATAACGCAAGGCTGAAATCCCGGTGAAGCTGGATTGTATGGTACCCTTGCTCACACTGTTAAATTCTGGGGATCCAAATGAGTACTGTCTTAGTCTGCTCAGCTCCCCACAACAAGACACGGCTGACTGGATGCCTTAAACAACAGAAACGTGTGTTCCCACAGTTCTGATTGGAAAAGTGCAAGATGTGGATGCTCACCGGGCAGGGTTCAGGCCAAGGTCCTCTCCGTGGCGTGCGTCACAGCCACCTTCTCACTGTGTCCTAATGGGGCAGTGAGAAGAGGGCAGCATCTGGGGCCTGCTGTCAAAAGGGCACGGGTGCCGTTAAGATGGGTCTTTATGCCGTCAGTTAAATCCAGTGGTCTCCCAAAGCCGTATCTCCAAATGCTGTCACTCTTGGTGTCAGGGCTTCACCGTGTGGATTTGGACACCGACTCACACACATTTAGTTCATAACATGTACGGTTACAGCAAGGATTCAGAAAGAGTGAAATCTTTCCTTGCCAAATTGTTTTTAAGTTTCGAGGACAAAGACAAAATGAGGCAAATGGCATTATTGCTAACTCAGGCTTTAAAGTCTCACGCTCCAGGGCCTAGCCCTGGAGGCTGGGGTAGGTGCAGGGAACACTACTTCACCTGGGAAGGCTAGCTGGAAAGATGTGTAGCAAGCCTGGTGGGAAATAGAAGCTCATGGTTTTTTAGAACTCAAAGCAAGAAATAGTCTACGACCTCCAACCATGATACAAAATTCTGCATGATGTTTGGATCGCAACCACCCTTGTTCATTTCTAAGTTGTCAGTGTTGCTCAGAGGATACAAATGCAGGGCCAGCTGACTACAACGGAGTCTGAAGTATGTGCTATCTGGCCCTCTACAGGAGAGCTTTGCTAGGCCCTGATCTGCAAACGAAGCCAGCCAATGACATGCTTTTTCTATTCCCAAGTCCAAACATCGGCTGAAAATACCATCTTAGATACGGAGCCGTCTCCTAGGACAGAGCCCTCACCCCAGAGCTTGGGGAAGGCCCGGAGACTGTCCACAACAAATTGTCAATACCTGACCGTTCCAACAAGGAACTAAGAGGGCAAGACAAGTGTGTTTCTTGTGGGAGGAAAGAATAAACAAAAAAGAGCACCAGTGTTCAGTTGATGGCTCCAGTGCGATCTCTTTGAAAGTCTAGCCCATATAAACCAGACCAGGGTTGGGCCAGTCTAGAGCCAGGTCTGTCTGTGGTTAAGTCTTCACTCCTTGGCTGACACTTCCGTCAGGTGAAAGGAGAAGAGAGGACTGGAGCTAATAAGTGGTACCTAGTGTAGAATCCACCACTGGTGGGCAAGTATCGGTGGCGTTTTGTTGTTTTTGTTTTCATTTTCCTGTGGAGGCATTTCCATTGTTTCTGACCGTTTTGTTTTGTCCCTTTCTTCCCCTGCCCCTTGTAAACAAAGGTGATCTTAAAGGATGTGGACTCGCTCCTCTACGTGGACACCGACGTCCTCTTTCTGAGGCCTGTGGATGATATCTGGAAGCTTCTGAGGCAGTTTAACTCCACCCAGCTTGCCGCCATGGCCCCAGAGCACGAAATCCCCAAGATCGGCTGGTACAGCCGCTTTGCCCGGCACCCTTTCTACGGCTCTACAGGGGTTAATTCAGGGGTCATGCTCATGAACTTGACTCGAATAAGAAGTACCCAGTTCAAGGTAAGGAAGAGCTTGAAAATCCCCTCTAAAGACCAGAGTTAGAAGCTGGGCTGTGGTGGCTCACACCCTTGATCCCAGCACTCGGGAGGCAGAGGCAGGCAGATCTCTTGAGTTCAAGGCCAGCCTGGTCTGCAGAGTGAGTTCCAGGACAACCAAGGCTACACACAGCAACCCTGTCTTGAAAAATGAACCAAATAAGCAAAGACCGGGAGTTAGTCTTTCCAGTAGGGATGTGCTGGGGGTGTGGCTGTGCTGATCTGGCTTGTGGGTGGGGAGGAAAATATTTGAAATGTGTGACGCTTCATAGTCTCAATTCAGAAATACAATGTGATGTTTCTGAATTATATAGTGTCCAAACTCGGCTTATCCAAGGCTTCAAAGCCCATGACCAATCTCTTGGAATGTCTCTAAAGGTGTATTTCTGTGAGTACACAGATATCCATGCATGGCTTATCAGGGTCTCTTTTCTACTAATAAAAGGAATGAAAATGAACATCTTTAGATGACAGTTCCCATCCATCCACCTCATGTTAAGAAGAAGAGGAGGCTGAAAGATAGCTCAGTTGGTAAAATGCTTGCCTTGCAAGCCTGTGGACCTGTGTTCAATCCACAGAACCCATGTAATAAATAAATAAAGCCAGATGTGGCTTATCATCCCAGTACTGTGGGCGGCAGAGGCAGGCAGATTTCTGGGGATCACTGGCCAGCTGTGTGGTAAAATTCTAAGCCACTGAGAGAGATCCCGTCTCATAAAACAAGTGGATGTTCTCTAAAAAACAACATGTGAGGTTCTTTGGCCTCCACAAGCACTTGTACACATGCTCACACTTACCTACACACACTTTTGACCAGCACACACATGAACGAGCACATACATGTACACACTAAAAGAAGGAGAGTAGATTCGTCACAGCTGGCGTGTAGTCTGTACAAGGCTTCAGTCCACAGCATGCCAAAACAATAGAAAATAAAAAGAATAGGCTAGGGGCTCAGTAGTTAGAGGACCAGGGTTCAATTTGAGCACTCACGTGACAGCTCACAACCATCTGAAACTCCAGTTCCAGAGGATCCATGTCCCCTTCTGGCCTCCATGGGCACCAGGCACACATGTGGTACACAGACATACATGCACACAGAACACCCACACACATAAATACATTTAAAAAAAAGAACAGGCTCATCTGTGTATTGTTATCAATAACACAATTTCCAAAAAAAAAAAATCAAGGGAAGAAAAAAAATCTCATACTATAGTGTGTTTACTTGTATGCCTTAGAAATTTCCAGAAGACTGCCTAAGAGACCTTTAATTGTTCATTGTAGATGCTTCTGTGAAAAGTGGGAACAGAATCTCTAGAGAGCAGCAGAAGAAATATTTACACTTTTTAATTTTTTATCTGAATGTACTGGTTGAATACTTAGTCTGTGGGTGTGTTACTTCTAGTTTAAAAGTAACTAATTATTTGGAAACAAGGACAGGAGCCCAGGTATGGTGGCACACATGTTTAATCACAGCATTTGGGAGGTGAATGCAGGGGCCCCAAGTTGAAGGCCAACCTGGGATATAGTGCAAGACCTTGTCCCAAAATTAATTAATTACATGAAGGGAAAAGGTAAGGGAAGAAAGCAGTTTTTCCCTGAAATGCCTTGACTCTGTGATCGGTGTTTTGTTTCTTCACAGACAGGAAATGCTTCTAAGATAATTTTTAAAAAGGGAACAAAGCTAAGAAGGAGGGATCACTTCAGCAGGGCTTTTTGATTAGAAATCATAGGCATGAACCAGAGAGAGGGCTCAGGGGGTGAAAATGAGTGTGGTGCACACCTGATGCCTGGTACATGTGCAAAAGCTGACACACTAGCACCGTTGCCTGCAGCCCAGCACACTAAAGGCCCAGATGGGAGCCATGCTGCAAGTCATGGGCCAGCATAAGCAGCAAAGAGGTCCTGTCTCAGACAAGGTGGAAAAGGCAGGGCCAGATCCCAGAAGGCTGTCATCTCATCCTCATACGTGTGCTAGGACACACGTGTGCTTGCATCCACACACACAAACGAGCAGTCTCACACACCTCAAAAACGAAAAGAAAAGGTTGATGAAAGGCTCAGCAGGTAAAGAGGATTCCGCCTGGCGATACAAGCCTGATGCCTTGCGTTCCATCTCCAGAGCCTGTATAAAGGTAGAAAGAGAAAACCAACTATACAAAGTTGTCCCCTGACCTCTACATGTACCGCATGTCACATGTTTACACACACATAACAAACACACACACACACACACACACCCCACACACACTTAAATAATAAACAAATAATTTTTTTAAAAAAGGAAAAGAAAACCAAAGGGTCCTCTTCACTTGCTGGTCCACTCTGCACGTGTAGGCACACCCCCCAGACCTCTACCCACAGCCTTGCTTTGCTTGGTTCTATGCCCAGGGTAGCCGGACCACGCCTGCATTTGCTCTGTGTCTAGGAGGAAAGGAAAGCGGTCCCCGTTTTTATTGGACAAGGCACACTTGCTTTGCCATAGCTGCTCTCACGGTTTCCTCTCTTCCAGAACAGCCTGATTCCAGCAGGCCTGGCTTGGGAGGACATGCTCCTCCCGCTCTACCAGAAGTATAAGAATGCCATCACGTGGGGAGACCAGGACTTACTAAATATTATCTTCTATTTCAACCCAGGTAAGTGCTCTGTTGAGAACGCCACTGTGTAGGGAGCCCGCCCACCTCACTTCATAGGGAACATTCCAGGCCCGGGCTGCTATTGATGGACCTACACGGTATACAGAGAGGCTGTGTTCCTCTGTCTGCCCCCTGGGTATCTGCGGAGGCAGCTCCTCAGCCACTAACACAAAAGGCCGAATGTTGACGCCTCCAACGCTACACTCCGGTTTCAGAGAGTGTCTTTTCAGTCTCGCCACACCATTCTTCCAAGAAGCGCAGTGCAAAATGACACAAGACACAAAATCAGATAACGAGATTTTCAGATGAGCACAAGCCCCTCACAGTGAAACAAGTACTAGTGTAAGGGAGGTGGTTCTTTTTTTCAAGACAGGGTTTCTCTGTGTAGCTTTGCGCCTTTCCTGGAACTCACTTTGGAGACCAGGCTGGCCTCGAACTCACAGAGATCCGCCTGGCTCTGCCTCCCGAGGGCTGGGATTAAAGGCGTGCACCACCACCACCGCCCCACTGGGAGGTGGTTCTTGAACTTTAAAATTAAGTCACCTGTCTAGAGTGCAGAGGGCCTAGAATAAGATCTCGGATTCCCCCAGGGTTTTGTTTTGTTATCTAGAGCAAAAGAAAATTTTGTCCGTCGATGTTGTGAGCTTGGTGGCCTGGCAGAGGGGGCGAGTGGGGGAGGGTGTCCTGGGTGGTTGGTTTGTTTGTTTTTGTTAACTTGACACAAGCTAGAATCCTCTGGGTTTTCCTTTTGGAACTTCAGTTGAGGAACTGACTCCCTGGGATTGGCCTGTAGGCAACTCTGTGGAGCATTTTCTTGATTAATGATTGATGTGGGAAGTGTAAGATGAAGTAAACCCTTTCTGCCCTGAGTTGCTGGGGTTTTTTTTTTTTTTTGTTGTTGTTGTTTTGTTTTGTTTTTGAGACAGGATTTCTCTGTGTACGGTTGCCGGCCCTGGAACTTGAACTCACAGAGATCCTCCTGCCTCTACCTCACTAAGACAGGATCAGTGAGTAAACAATACTAGACACAGCTTCGTGCTTTAACTCCGGTGCCTCGCCTTTAGTGGGGGCTGCACCCAGCTGGGTGTGATGACCTGGGTGCCTCCTTCTGAGGCCCACTGAGCCAAAGGTACTGTGACATACTTGTGAGGTTGTCCTACATCCTGGTTCTGACCTGAGCCTCGTAAGCAACCAGGAGCTCAGGTTTCAGGTCAGTGTAAGGTGAACTCACTCGCTGTTCTTTGTGCGGCTGCTTGATCCCATTTTACACTTCACCCTGGCACTGTATTAAACATTAGCTCTCTCTAATGAACCTCTAAGGATAGCCACTGCGTATACAATTTTCATTCATTCATTTTGCGTGTGGACTTTCTACAACCTAGAGTCAATGATATATTTTAAAAGATTGGTTACCTTTAGCATTGTAAAGAAGGGGTTGGTGATATTGGCAGCAACCTAGGAGATAAATATGTTTATTGTTGTGGCTTATTGGGTTGCTATGGATGAAGCCACGCACATACAACAGGCAGCGCAGGGCTGCAGTGTTACTGTGAGGAGAGTTTCCTGTAGCCAGTAACCTGCTTACTGAGATGTGTTTGAAAGCCATCAGGTAAAAACTGTTGTAAACTTCTGCCATAATTAGATCGTAAAATGAGTGTGGGTGTGGAATTGCATGACTAGGTTATAGACCAACTCACGTGGAGGTGACTGAAGCCCCTGGGGACTGTGCAGGTAGCTGGTCCCACAGGACATTTTTTGGAATGTGAAAAAAGGTGGCTCCTTCTAGGATGAAAGGCTGAACTCACAGTGTGTGTGTGTGTGTGTGTGTGTGTGTGTGTGTGTGTGTGTGTGTGT